AATCCTCAATGAGCCAATCAGATCCACAAAATGGAACTTGAAACAATATGGAACAATACGACAGTGCCTCACACTGGCATGCGAAGCAATTCTTGTTACTATCCCTTCTTAGGCTAACCCGCATTACCAGAGGGACCATTTGGCTGTACATAATTGTAGTGGGTCATACAGCCGATGACGGGACAAGAGAATCGAGCAGAAGGGATCCTGAGATTATACACAAGAATAGCACCCCGTGTTGGCAGAGCGAGTGCCCTAAAAAAGCATATCTGCCCAGTTTGATAACCAAGCCACGACATGTCTTTTCTTCTACTCAAAAGCTTTCCGAAACCTGCCTTGACATGGATTCAAGTCTTCCTTTAGAAGAAGTTCAGCAATCAGTCTATACCTCAGTGGATGTCTTGTCCACGTGAAGGACAAACAAAATATGCCACACCATGAGGGTCCAGTGCTTTCTGTACACAGAGGCGTGTTCTCATTGTGCAGTCAATCCATGTCCGTATTCACAAAGCTGTTTTGCACATTACACAGAGTGATGTCATATCGACACTGTAGCTTGGCATCATGGGCGCGTTTATATTAGTACTCAGATTTTCAACCTGCAGACACACGGTTACTGTGTACTAGTACACTGCAGTGCAGTTTAGAGCACAGTGCGATCCATTGTACAGACACGTGGGCAACTGCATGTTTCATGGCAAAAGAACCAGATTCTGTCTCTCTCCACACTCGTCCTGTGCCTGTGCCCTCACCGTCCCTAGTTCTTTACCCACACCAGAAGAACGTATCTCCAAGCCACACACAGCTTCACTTTAGGAAGCTGTATGCTCAAGCAGCTCGTAAAAGCAGGTTACAGCTATCAAGAATGTTGGGCCTGGCTAAGTGACTAGCCAATGAGAAATCACTTTTGGGAGGGGGAAAATGTGGCGGAGAAGGGATTCGTTTGTACGCTGTTTCTCCATATCGTGCATTAGTCACACGAGCTTACCATTCAACAAAGACTATGTGTAAGATCAGTGGATTCCTCGCAACAGCTATCCCAGCAGATTTCATCCCATGAAACGCACTAATCATCAACAAACTGTCTTGCAGAAAAGCTAGTTCTTACCTTTTAAAGAGGTCCTGTCTGTTGGTTGTTGGCATTGAAATCTGATTTGTTCAGGTTTGGTTTTTGGTGATATACTTAATGGTGTATTCTCTCAAATTGGCTTAACTGCACATACAAATTCGTACTTGCAAACAAAAAGCTACAAACAACATGCGAAACAATGCTGTCCATACAAGACCTAAAAATTAATGTCAGACCAGCTCTCGCAAATGAATATTAACCTATGTGCACAAGGTTAGCGAAACAATATAATACAATTCTGGTTGTAAAACTTAACACCAGTTCTTCCAGTTTTGTATACTTCCTGGAGCTGTTCCATATGCAAATTCATATACATTGATAGCACAAACTGTTTAATAAAACTTATTGTTGGGCTAGTTGGTTATACATCATATACTTAGAAATTTGGCGCAACCTCGACTCACGCAAACACTCACACAAGCACACACACTTACACCAGAGCAACACACACGACACGCAGCCTTGTTTGGGTGTGTGAGACCTTCTTGGGGACACGTGAAAAGAGTGCTCAAAATTCTTAGAGCGGAATTGTGGCGCCAAGTAAGGCTGCTCTATGATTGGCTTCGTGTGATTCTTCAATGCGAATACCCTGAACAACTTGCGGCTTATAAACTCGGGAAAGTCAAGCGTCGTATAGCTCAGACAACTGAATCTAGGTGGAGGAGCGTGTTGACCCCCCTTCTGAGGCTTCAAGGTAAACGGAGAAGAGATAATTGTCAGGACCTCGTTGTTCTCGGGGGTGCAGTGCTACCTGAAGACATTGAAAAGCTTCTGCGAAAAGGACCAAAGTATGCGTGCACACCAAGTGTTTCCGCCCATGACCTGGTAGGCCTGAACAGGGACCTGTCTTCTAAGGCCAACCAGGACCGAGAAAGATGCCTGCTGGACGGTATGGACTGCCTCACGAGGTGTGCAAGCCAACTTCCGGACAATAGCGGTAGCAGAAGACTGAGTAGTGTGGTGTCTTTTTTCAAGAAGCAGAATTTGATGTTAGTACAAGCCGATAAGGAGGGTGGTTTCGTTGTTTTGCCACAGGGTGTTTACAATGAGAAAGCGATTAGCGCCATTGACAAGAACTTTTTACCTGTTAAAAAAAGTGCTGTACGCGTTAAATCTAAATTCACCGCGTTCTGTAGGGAGGTAGGACTTCCTACGCTGGCTGGAACCTTAGCTAGTAGCAAAAGCACTAACTTGAACGTCTTTTTTTTCCGCTAAAACCCACAAAGTGGGCATTCCCTTCAGAACCATTGTTAGTGAAAATGGTTCATGGCAGGGCAACGTTAGCAAATTCCTGTTAAGCAAACTAAAGCCACTCAGTGTTAGTGACCCGTTTCGCACTAAAAGCTCTAGTGATGTCGCAGATTTCATACGGAATAACCAGCAGATTTCCTTTGCTTTCTCAGTAGATGTTGAAGACCTGTTTTATTCGGTACCTCATGATAAGCTTTTGACTTCGGTCCGACAGTGCATAGAGGATAATGGTGACGTTTCTTTTATGAATAATGCGGGCGTATCCGTTGAAAACTTTTTAGCACTTTTAGAATTTTATCTTAACGTTACTTTTATTACTTTTAACGACAAGCCCTATCTACAACGACAAGGCATCTGTATAGGTTCTTGTGTCGCCCCTGTTCTTACTGATATTTTTTTAGCAGATGTAGATAGGACGTTGGATAAATTTTTAAGGGGGAATAAGGTTTTGAAGATTTTTAGATATGTTGACGATTTTTTAATTCTTTTAGACAAGCGGGGGCCATATACACCCCCCAATTACGTTTCAGATGTTCAAGTAGACGCCTGTACTTCAGTGAGTGTGCGTGCGGATGAGGTATCATATGAAGTGCAGCGTTCTTATTGTGAACATGTGCTTAGTGTTTTTAAAGATCATGGACGCGGACTTAGGTTCACTACCGAGGTACCCACAGAGACTTGTCTCCAGTTTTTAGACCTCAAGCTACTGTGGGGTGGTGAACACTTTTGTTGGGTCTACCGGCCTAGAGTGAAGAAGGGGCTGTTGCCGTATGATTCTGCGCACTCGAAATTAGTTAAAAGAGGTATTGCTTCGCTATGTCTGGAATCCTCGTTGATTAAGTCGTGTCCACACCACATGCGTACTAGTTTTTATGAACAGATCAGCCGATTGACGGCGGCGGGCTTCCCTTCGTCGGTCCTAAACGCGGTCACCGAGTCACTACTACAGAAGATGAAACGTGGAACACAAAGGGATAGAGCTACTTGGGATCCTTCGGGTTCCAAGCTTCAAGTCGTGCCTTACGTGCACAAGCTCTCCCATAATATTAAGAAGGTTGCTGCAAGGCATGGTGTGGCTGTGGTCTTTTCTGCGCCAGAAAAGCTCGCCAAGTTATGTCCGCGTATTTGCAATGGCAAGAGACGCGGTTGCGTGAAAAAACATGAGAATGCCTTCGTAAAATGTTCCATGGGAGTTGTATACTCCATTCCTTTTTCCTGCGGTAACGTGTACATTGGCATTACCGAGCGATGCCTCAATGACCGGCTTAGGGAGCATGCGCTAAAGGTTAAGAAAAACGAGGACAAGTACGCACATCTTGTGTCGCATATTGCCGCATGTGGGTGTGAACCACGATTTTCTGATACAAGGATTCTTGGGAGAAGCTCAAATTTATCAGCACGTTTGCTGTTAGAAGCATATTATATAGAAAAGAATAAAGATATATGTGTCAGCGAGCCATCTTTGGTGTTGCATCAACAAGAAATATCTTTCCTTGATGCGAGGGTTTAGCGATTATATCTCCTTTTTGTGTTAACCCCTTTTTTTACTTTTTTTACTTTTTTTTATGTTCCTTGTGGTGTGGTGACGCCATGTTGGTTTTCTACTGGCGCAGTTCTGTTAGTTTGTGCCTTTGCGCATTTCGATGTACGTATTTAAGAAGGTCAGATAGGAGCAATAAACAGTTGGTAGTGAGCGCTGCGTGTCGTGTGTGTTGCTCTGGTGTAAGTGTGTGTGCTTGTGTGAGTGTTTGCGTGAGTCGAGGTTGCGCCAAATTTCTAAGTATATGAAGCACAAACTGTTTATTCAACTACAAATGTTTACACCTTACAAAAAGTTTGTACTTTAATACTGTACATAAAGGCTTTATATTGTTACGGAAAGAAGAGATGCCGTATCGACGAGGCTGTGGATTAGATGTCTTTGAAACCAGCGGTAATGGCATGACCAGTTCACCAGCGATCAAGCGGAGACTACCCTTCGTCTTCCTCATCAGGCACACATGCGCGTCGCCCCCTAGAATCTCAATATGCATGCATGTAGCAATATTTTATCCTGAAATTTAGAAGCCAGTGCAATAACGTGCAGGAAAGGTTCTGAAAGGCTTTGACTTCGTGTAAGGAGCAGTTTCACTAAATAACTTTGAGGTCTGGAAGCATGCCAGTATGTAACAAACATTTCTAATGTGAGCTTTATATTAGTTTATTTTCTCACAAGTAACCCTTCCCTGCATATAATCCACAGTCCTAACTTTAACTCTACCATATGGAAAAAAAAACATGCATATAAACCTTGCAATAATTTGCACCCCCACATTTTGGGCTCATTTGTATGTATTTTTTCTTCTTTTTTGCGTATAATATATGCGGGATAGTACAATAACACTTGGGATCGGCAAGTGAATAGTAAAACAAAGCATATTGTCATGTCCTTTCGCCTAACTTAAATATTCTCACTCTAATAAAGAGCATACGAGTTTACTGAAAGCACAGCTGAAGCAGATCTGAACAGAACGCTTTGTTTCTCATGGCTTTCAAACCGAGCACTATTAGCACCATGAAGCTTTTAGATGAGTCAAAGAGTACCAACTTCGAGTGTTACCTGTGTACAAATCGGACCAGGCTAAGAGCATGAAATTTATTTTATTATTCACAAGTACCAAACTCTAGAAAATCTGCATTCATGCTGAGAAAATCAGGTCAGCTGTGTCCTTTCAAACAACAGAGGATTTTTAACCTTAAAATTTAGAGCTAAGTGCAGAAAATAAGTTAGAAATAATTTTTCGTTCTTTTGTTAATAATACAGCCTTAGTACTTTGAAACCTGTCGTCTATTCTTGAATCGTACAAACAATGTTGCAATGTGTGGCGCTTCTATGGATAATAAATGTTTTGATAGCCTAGGCTACAGAGCCTCCAACTGCATGCATAATTTAAAATTTCCACTTTTGGCAATGATTTCATTGGCATTACAGAAAAATTCACTCTCAAAATAAGTTAGCGACACTGCTTTAGAATAACTGAGCATGCAGCACACGAGTGTGTAAAAAATTATAAAACCTACACAAGTTTTCACACTCCTAAAGCAAGCAGACATGTTTCTTGAATTAATGAAATGCCAATGCAACATAATACAAAATAATTGTCATGACACTTACACAGGTTTCAGAACGTGCTTTGAACACTGAAACTCGCAGATTGAGTTGACTAGAAATAAAAGGTTACAGTATCAGGACCAATCAGAATAACTAAAGTGCCATTCACAAAGGTCACTCATTGCACGCATAATCAGGTGACACTTTAATGAACGTCCTAAAGGAGCCACAGAGATAATTTAAATGCACAGTGCTGATCATAATTAGGTTTCTCCTGTCAAAATGGAGCTATGCGTGCAAGGAAAAAATAAACTCCCTTTAGGCGGGGTTTTGAACTGATTCTATAAAAAAAAATTGAAATTATTATTAGTTATATAGTGACAGTATGCCCCATCAAATATTGCAAAGCTAACATACACTGATGTACAAATTTCAGTTGTATCTTTATCTGCACAAATCCCAAACGGGTTTCCAGTGCCTTATAACCTACAACACTGGCAGGTGTACTAAAGAGCTAGAGATCCAGACATAGTTCACCCATCCACACTACTGTTGTTGTTCTATAATATGAAAGACGTTAGAAATCATGAAAAGACACTGGGAATTCCACGAGTGCCGTGCATTCATATACTTGAGAAGGTGTCAACTCCAGAGTCACACGTGTGCACAATCACAATGGACTGAGTGATCTAGAGAAACAGAAGTACTGAATTTCGATGATATAAGTGTGGCAAGCAAGCAAGATAGATTTCAGACAACTGTGCAGACAATAAAAAACAAAAACAAGTTTTTTTACCAAATAACAACATAAATACATATTTTACAGTGTAGCCACATGTGCCAATGCAAAGCCATATTCTTGCTACTGTGAAGACTAAAGAGTTGGTGTATAGATTCCAGCAGGGAGCCACAGCTGTGCATCTCTTCACACAAACTGCTCTCATGTAATCATTCTGCCAAATGCTCTCACATGAACCTCCATACCTCAGCACAAAAGCAAGCTTATGAAACACACTACTTGTGACGTGCTTGCTTCAGCAATGATGAGAGCGCCAACACTTTTCTGCCTACCAACTTTTGCCAGAAAATTATCGTGCCTTGTCGTACACCGTATTCTACATAAGCAGAATGGTCATCAATGCTGTGTGCAAAACTATAACTATGCCAGTTCACTGCGTTCATGTTAGGGACACGCATAGAAGCCTGTTTTGCAAAAGCATGGGTGGCTTTATTCCCCTTCAACGAAGAGTGCAAGATGGCCAGCTTTTGTGGAACTTTTCTTCTTCCGAGAGACATACAATAACCTTATTGTGCTTATATACAGTGAAACTACGCCACGGAAGAGTTATCGTATATACAATAAACTCTCATTAAAAGGAACCTGAAGGGACTGGGAAAATGTGTTCTGTTTAACAAGAGTTCTGTTTACAGAGAGATGAACATGGGTGCAGAATATAAGCACAAAACCAAGCATTGCGGAGGCGATAGTTTCATATAAGCAGTAGTTCCGTTTAACAGATTTTCGTTTACTGAAAGTCTACTGTATTCCTACAGGGCGAAGACTTGTGGAAAGGTCTGCCTATTCGCACACGATACCAGCCAACATTTTTTAGGGGATGCCACACGTCACTTTCGCAGGAGGCAAGCGCATTCTAACATGAACAATCATGGCCAACTAGACATCGCCACTGCATGTTCTACCGGCCTTTATAGAAAAAAGATCAAGGACCGCTCTGTTGAAAACCCATGCATATGACCTACACTTTGATTTTTTTCTTAGTGAAGAGAAATATATCCCACTGCATGAGCTGACACATTGCATAGTGCGGGGTCCCTCATTATGCACAGCGTATAGTAGCTCTTAAAAAACTTGCCTTTAGTGCCAGCCCTTACTGTGTCAAACATATCAGAAAGTAAGGATGTTTTTATGCAATATGAGTTCTAGGAAAGACTAATTTCTGAAGCATCTTGTCAAGCTGTCGTCACTGAAGTGACGCAACGAAGAGTAATGACTTGCTGGTCGTGCTATGATGAGCTGTGTTCATTGGTCTTCAAATCGTGTGAATACATTAGACGAATAGAAAGCAGAAGCCCAACTGGGGCACCCTATATTCTACTTTACCCACACTAAGTGCTAACAGTTGATGGCGAGCCGAGCCAGCGAGGCTAAAAAAAACAAAGAACACAAAAAATTTGAGTACACATCTGGAAGTAGCCTTATTTTTAAGCATTACTTGTTCCTGTACAAGAAAAAGTACTGTTTTTTATGCAATTATGTGAAAAACCGTACGAAGAGCAACAGTTAGCGACCAATCAAGTTAGTGAAATGTATATTTTGTTACTTCTGTACATAACTTCGATGTAGTTGAGTGTATTTAGACTGAGATCAAAGAATACAAAGCAGCACAAAGGTATGTCTTTTTCGCATTGCAAAATCAGAGCCACGAGAGATTCTGTTTTAAGGTGCAAAATTAATTTGGGTAAATACGTAATATGTTATACTTTAGAACAGCACAAAAAACCTTAGGGGCAGGTCGTTTGTGGTAACACTACTCTTTCTGTGATGCTGTTTGCCTTTTTTTAATGATGAATTTGTTGCCACATTCTGCTTAGTAGTATCTCATTGTTCGACAATGTCATTTGTCAATATTACACGGCTCCGTTAGTTTGTTTTTCTTATTGTTTGCAATACTGTGATATATGCTCCCCTTTATGCATGCCTACACTCGAGTGACATCAAGGAAACAATAATGAAAAAGCACAGATTAAATCGCACAGTCTGCATTGCACACCCACCAACACTAAACACTGCCATGCTTGGGTTTCAAAGCTTCAATGTTGGTGACGGTGTCAGTCATGCAATGTTTGACAAAGTTTGACAAAGCACAATAAGACAAAAAGAGTGATTTTAAGTACAGAATATGTATGTAAATGACACAATAGTTTTACTACAGTTGATTAAATTTTTGTCATCATTAAAAAAAAAAAGGGTAAGTGGGCTAAAGGCTTCACTTCAACTTCACCACTTATGACAAAATGCACAAAAACTGAGCAAATTATGCCTTTTCAAGAAAGTTTGTGATACAAGACTGTTTTCCGCAAATATGTAGTTAAAAATTCTCAACGATCAGTCAAACCTGGTCAAGGCTTGACTGGTCAAAACCTGATTAAAACCTGGTAAAAAAAAAACCCGACGATGATGACAGAATGAAGCATCGTCTCTTTTTCTTCGCATGCTGTCACTTCCATCCTCTCTAGCAGTTGTGCAGTCTAAGTGCCAGCTGTTGCACAAACACCAACTTAGATGGCACTAAAGTGCCAACACTTGCAGTATTCGATGAGGCTTTTTGTGAATGATGACTGGCAGTGAGCGATTTCAAGCGGCTATGACTACGCATTACGATGAACCCTTTTCGATTTACAAGTACCGCAGCATGGCAGCAGTGAAACCAATTCAACCAGTGAAACCCTGAAGATCTCCGTTAAGTACCATATTGTGAACTGCATTGCTGGTCAATCAAGGCTCACATTCACAGGACGGGGTGTGTGCTTAGGCAACCACCAACAATATTGCTGTGCAATAAAGGCACACTGAACACATCCATACACGTAACATTACAATGTACCAGACGGTTCACCCAGGAATGGTAGAAAGTAACTTCCGACAAACATTCACGCAGGTGCTAAACATTGTTGCTGTGGCTCGGTGTTGACATTCACTTTGCGTTGCTGTACTTGCAGATACGTTCAGCAAGCAAGAACGTAACTCTCTGCCACACTCGGTCTTGGTTCAACACAGATGCTGCTGCTTTGGACATTTCAGTGCCACAACAGTGGCTAAGTTAAGCGACTGGGCTCGCAATGGCCACGTGCAGAGAACGGCGATGTTCATCGGCGTGCTGACTGGACATCAGTGGTCATCATCGTCATCGTCCGACTTGTTTGAGAGCTGACTTCGCTCTGCCTGCCGTAAGCTTTGGTCTGGTAGAAAGCCATGCCTGGTTGCAAGACAGAGAGTTGCAGGTCGAAATGCTATTTTGTACTAAGACATCAATAACGCATAGTCAACCATCATTTCAACAAAGTTACTTGTGAAGAGAAAATAATGTCATTACAATATCCAGTCAAACCCCTTTATAAGAGCCACTATATAAACAGGCACCAGTGTGCTTACAATAAAATTGTACTGATAAGAAAATGGATACGAGGTACCCTACTTAATATAAGAGACAAGAATTGCTGCCTGGAGCATGAGTCTTATAAAGGGATTTAACTATACAATATTCACTTCATGATAGACATGTGCATGTTACACTGCAACATTAGTCAAAGCATCTTTGTTTACTTTGTTACATTTAATAACTAGTGATAGCTGTGTTTAATATATATCGAATATTGTTTGACTGCACATGCTCAAAGAACAGAGATTAATTTGTAAACTTCTTAGTAGGTACAATATATCAGGATACCAGGAGCATAAACACAAATGACACAGGTGGTAGCACTGCCTGGAGACACAAAGCTATACCAGATAAACACAGCCATAGTTGCAGTAATAAAGTGCATGCTACTTTGCTGCTGCTGCTGCTGCAAACTTTTTTGGACTGTCATTTTGGGCTCTTTGTAAACAGCATTTCTCGATATTGAAACTTCCCACGTCAGCTACGTCACCCATCAAGAAACAAGCTCAGTACATTTCGAGGCCTCAATTCATTGGCTATGTATGCTGTGTTGCTCCAGCATGCCTCGCCATTGATATGATGCTTCAAGAGAGAATCGCAAGGCCACAACTGTTGACAATCACGCTACTTAATGACACATTTGTACTCATTCTGTGTTCACGGGTCAACGATCACTTCGAATATTGTCACGACTAAAAGCCAGCAGGATGACAGAGGACGACGAAGTGACAAGCACGAGCAGTAACCACCGTTAGTCCAAGGAAGACGACGCAGGGCCGTCTGTTTGTTTTTATCTTTCAATGCAGGCCGTGCGCTCCCTTGTCACACTGTGGCCCTGTGTCCTGTTCTTTCCGCGTTGCGACAATATTCGCAATGTTCATAGACTGTGGTCAAGGGGAATTCAGCAGAATTCCAAGCGGAATTCAGAACCAAGCGGAATTCAGCAGTGTCCTCTCATGAATGATTAGTAGGCAGATGCTCTCAATGCTGCCTTGTTCGGCGGTGCTAGCCCCAGAGTTAACGCATTAGTAAGAAACAAACACAAACCACTTTGCACGTTTCATGCATCAGTAAATTACCAAACCGTCCGCGACACGATAAATCTGATTCGCTCTTGCGGGACGCAAAGTTGTCGTGAAAATACGTGGCAACTCGCGCTTTCGATTATAACCCCAGAATACACATATCAGCTTCGCGAGATTTTCTGCAGCCACTTTAGTTAGTTAAATGTTAGAGTCTGACCATTTCAGTTAAAACTTGCCTTGTTTTACGTGCGTATAGCATTCGTCAGTGCTTTTGTAGTGCATGAATCCCATAACATTTACTTTATGCAGAAAGTAGCGCAGGCTCGCGATTTGCGCTTCCAAACCTTGGCCTACCCCGGACTGCTTGTTTTTGACGCTCGCTGATAGATGGCAGCACACTGCAAGCGATTCCTTTTTTTGCCAGGTATCAAGAGTGAAATGACCTCTGTGCCCTAGATAAACGGGGTGAGTGACGCCGTGTGGGTGTTATGCGTGGTGAATGACACATTGTTGGCGCTGTCGAAGTCATTTGGGGAGAAAATTCTTCAGATTACTTTCAGCAGTGATGTTCAAGGAAACCGTCTTGACGTCGTAGATTTTGCACTGCACGTAGATGGTTGTCAACGCGCTGAGAGTGACAGCGACGATGAACGATCAGCTGCTAGCTTACCAGCAGAAAGTTGCACTTCACGTCCCGCCGTGCATTAATGTTTTTTTCACGCTCGTAAGTCACTTTGTGTTTTCTGTATAATATCTTTAAGCGAGCTCAAAATAAAAGCATACTTTTTCTTGAGCATTGAATGTATCCCAATTACAGTGGATATTGCAAAGCCCTGCATGCCACCAACACACTCTAGGTCGACCAGCGAAGCGAAATGGTTATATCAATAGAAATACACAGTTACGACTACAGTCCACGCTAACTTCTCGTGCACTTCACTGGTGCTGTCCGAACAAAGTTTTTGTGCGAGAAATTTTTGCGATTTTGACATTGCGAAAAGTGTACACATGTATTCATTTCGATATCCTTGTTTCGATTACGCTGATGAAACTTGCAACACCCTAGTGCAGGGAATTGCGCACTGTTAGAGTGTGATAATGGCTGTGACACGAAGTTCTACTTAACGATAAGTTAAATTCTTGTGTTCCGGTGCATAAGCAGCTACATGATGCTTGCAGCGCATGTAACGAGGACGTAATATGTTAGCGAACCATCGCTACGTTAAACATTCGTTTCTGTGCAGCCGCGAGGATGCGCTGTTCGCTAGTGGCCTACTACTGTGCTAAATCCGCCAGACAGGCTCAGCACAAATGATCTCGGGAGTGGCGTTCAGTTTATACGTGAATTATGGTTCGTGCAGTTTTTTGTAGCATGCACAGGATTACGCAAAGCATTGTTGATACACGGACGATCAGCTGATACCACCACTCTTCGCACTGCGGCAAGAAATGAGATAGCGAGTACTCAGCAGTTCCTATAGTTTGGGAAAGTACTTTGGTTCGATATAAATGAATTTGACGATCAAGAGTTCATCCGGTGAAAGCAGCACGGGGAGTACGATCGCACGTCCTATCTTTTCCTTTGCGAGTTAATAGGTTGATCATCCTTCCGCAGCCATCTTGGATTGCACGGCGCACCACTTATAGGCCATGGGCATTGCGAATAATTATGCTTCAGTTTTGGCAGTTGCAAGCAGAAGCTCAAACGTCAGACAATGATAGTGCACCGCACTCATGGCAAGCATTGCAAACATCAGACCGGCTGTCTTAAGCGCTCACTTGAGGGAGCCAAGATTTGAGCTCTACTTGTCAGCATTTCGGACCTCATCACAAAGTCCATCGTGGAACAACTCTTTGTACTCGTGATTCAGCACTTTGAAACACAGGGCTAAGCAGACCACGATTAAGGGGGGAGGCTACCTTCGAAGGGCAACTTTTTTGTTTGTTGAGATATCTTAATGAAATTTTTAGGGTACACTAATAGCAAAGCCATTTGAATTACCACAAAGTTTCATGCAGTTATGTTCACTGGTTCCCAAGTTACAGCCATTTATCAGGGTAGTCCACATGGGTCCCTTAGTCAGGGTCTGGAGAATTTGAAAAATGTGCTAGCACTGTGAAATTCACTATGATGATGCCTGGATAGGTGCTTTAGGGCAAGACAGAGCCCTTTTTTTAAATTTCCTTGCCAAAAAATGTTAGCAGAGCACTGAATTTAGTGTTCACAATTTGGCTCTCATCAATGAAGTTTTAGTTAATTATTACAAATTACAGACACAATAAATTGAAAAAGCGGGCTTGTCTTGCCCTGGGCAATTTATTAAGGTGCATAATAAAAAAAACCTGATAGAAATCAGACCAGCAGTTCCAGAGAGATCCCCTGACTAAGCAGCCTCACTGGCCAAAAAAGTCATTCTGAGAAAATTGACTTCGAAAGTTTGAAACATTTATTATGGTCTAAAATGACCCTTCAGAGTAGCTAGATGTGTCCTTAGGCTCTCTTTTTCTTTGCCGCTTTTCCTGCTTCTCATTCATCCGTTTCTGAGCCTTTCTCAGATGCAGAGAGTCTTTCTCCGCAGCTCGTTGAATGGTTAGGTGGCCAGGTGTGAGTCTCACTGATGACGACAACTCTTGGGTGGCCCTGTAGCAGCCGGCATTATACCGCAAAACTGCGTCATGCAGTGCTGTCTCGACAGCAATCAATGATGCATGTTGCTCCTTGGGCATCAAGGACCATAGGACAGAATGGAATGACTCCGATGCATTTTGCGTCTTTGCTCCCAGGCAGCGTTGCAGTAGAGAAGCCTGCGAAAGGCGCTGGTAGACTGGCAGCAGCGCTTCTGCAACGTAGCCCGGAAGATTGTATTTGTGCTTTGGAGGTGGCACGCCATTCCCCTTGCAGGCATTATGACGGCACCACGAGTCTGCACCTTCCGGGCACAAGTCATGGTGAGGATTCTCGTCAGTTGAGGTGACGTGATAATACGACGCCATCACTGCACGCTGCATTGCAGCCACATTGTTTGAATTGTTCCGCAGTGCCCAGCCATAATAGTCTGTGAGTTTATCAATAAGGGCTTTTGTCAATCTGCCCTTCCCTCCCAGAGCCTGTTCGCTTTTCTGCACAGGATTACGTAGGGCTGTGCCCATCCTCTTCCGGACATGGTTCAAGCATTCTTCTTTCACAATAGGGACTAGCCCATAAACATTGTCTTGTTGAAGGGCAGAGAATGTGGCGCTGTCCCCATCAGATACAATGGTTGTATACCGGAGGTTATGCTTGGACAGTGAACGTGAGAACAGAGTTACAGCTGCTTCAACCTCCATCCTCCCAGACTTGGCATCAGTGTTTTTTTGGCACACATGGTGCTTCAACCAGCTTGCATAGCCCACGTCTTCAGGCTTCGGTCCTACCTGGCAGCCGAGACACTGATTCGATAAAACTACAGCATCCAAGATGAGGCCTGTGTGATACTCGATGATTGCACCAACTCCAATGTGAGATGTATGTCCGCGCTTATGCCACGTGCCATCATAGTTCACTGTAATGTCCTTGCAGAAAGATGGGTCCATCTCCTTGTACACCTTTTTCACAGCAGAAGCCGATTCTTCATAGAATTTATCCAGGGTCTGTTGCTGTGGTTCTCTGAATTGCTTCAGGTGCCTCTGGAAAGTTCTGTGGTGCAGGCCACGGTGGGAAACATTCATAGTTGCCCAAAAGTCGTTGAGGGCTGTCTGTCCCTTCCCTATTTGTTTCATGGCCGTAATAGCCCTTATATTCACGTCGAAGGCCCTTGACTCGTTCTGACGAGCAGAGCTCCACGAACTTGAAACTATTCCACAATGTGGACATACCAGCTAAAACTTCGTGGCAAGTCCAAGCTGGGTGCCTCCTTGAACTTTCATCCCGGTCGCGAGGCAGCGCGGGCACGGGGTCTTGGACAGCATGTCGCTAAGGGCATCCCCTTGCACGAGGAAATATCTCTCGCCTTCGGTCGTAGCGGCGGTGGCAGCTTTGGGTTCAGGCATCATCGCTTGAAACTTCCTCTCGGTCGCTGGCATAGCGCCAAGTTTTCGTTGCACAGCAGCACGTTCTCTCTCCGCCGTCGCCAACTCCTCGCACGTCCGAAAACGTGTTTGAATGTGCACAGTCGACGACGCGGTCTCACTGTTCGGGGCCGAAATCAATGCGGTTGGCGAGCGCGACACACCAGGCGCACTTGAGCATGAAACACCAGCCTCACTCGTCACGACGGATCCTTGTGCCGATGGTGTAGAAGTCTCGTCGCTAGAAGCGTCGACGCAATCGTCTTGAAAAGATGAAGCGGAAGCATCGGTGCAACTGTCGCCGCGCGTGGGCGTGCAGGTGAGCTTCGCCATGCGTACGAGCTTCAGCTGACGCTTTCTTGAACCGAACGCGTGCCGAGTCTTGAACTTCGAAATGCCCATCGTGACCGTCAGCGCAACAATCCGCGTCCCGTGAACACGGCGGAAGATCGTCTCGTGAGGACGGTAGTGATCGTCTCGTAAAGACGGTAGAAGATCGTCTTGTGAAGACGGTAGAAGATCGTCTCGTGAAGACGGTGAAAGATAGAGGAGCACGTGTGACGACCGATCGGAATGATGGCAAACGGGGCACACAGAGAACGCCGGCATTGCAAGCGCCGGTGCAGACGACGAGCCGGCGCATGCCGGAGAAGCAGCTACGTCAGCGCGCGCAGCAGCCAATAGGAGCCGCGCGCTCCCCCATTCCCTCGAGAGGCGCGCGCTTTGTCCAATCGCGGCTTCGCATCCAGGCAGTGGGACATTCGAAAGCTTCCGCGAGCCCCCCAATCGTGAGCGACTCCCGCCTCGGAGCGCCACCGTCATTGCCGCGGGTGGCGAAAAAAAAAAGCGCAAAAATTCACGAGCAAAACAACATCAAGATGGCGGCGATCGGCCGAGCGGTTGGGAAATGGCGAGCGCGCGAAGTTGGGGTATTTTTGGCGCTCGCTCGCCGCTTGCCGGCTGCCGCGGCATGTTATAAAATTTATTTGACGTACTTTCGCGATGAATTAGACATTGATATTTACAGTAGAGGCAGTTTATGAGTCATACTGCCCGAGTATGTGGTTTTAAAAAAATCGACTTTTTCGCGATTTTTCGGTTTTCAAAGGGCGCGTCCCCCCTTAAGCTTATTGCTAAAGGCCGTGGCTAGGTCTAATTCAGCTCACAACGCCAATGCGAACTTTGCTGGCAAGAACATCGCGCTAGCAGACTTGTGAAACCGATAAAGGCGCAGTGTGTTTTGTTGCGTGCAACAAATGACATTGTCCGCTGGGTCCTCAGAACTATGAGTGGGCACACTTTACACATCGGCAGTGGACTCCCATGCCAAGCTTGTGACGCAACAACTGCTCAGAGCACCATAGAAAGGCTAGAGGTTTTGCACGTAGGTGCCCCAAAACGCAAACCTAAGCAAGCTGGACAGAGATCTATCAACGTTATATTTATTTTTCGTTATTATAAATTTATATGTTTATTTTTCTAGATGTTTGAATATTTTGAATAGTAAAATTCCGATGCAAATAGAATCGAATAGCAAACACTATTTCGAATATTCCCACACCGCTAGTCAAAGCACCTCCCTTTTAGGATGCACACAAACTTTATTAGTAAGTAATAACTTACTTTTAATGCAGCATAAAAAGAGCAGCAAACATGGAAAAATGGTAACCCTCAGCCTTCACCTATATATTGTTGGGAAATTAAAACCTTTAGAGTTGTTGCAAACAATGGCCATCTTAAAGGCTGAGAATGGTCCTGCCACCCTCAAAAGATATTGAAAATGTTTGCTCAAGAGCTGAAGCAGTGAGGATCAGCCTCCCTGTTCTATAAAAAAAACCCCACGAAGTAATGAAAACAGCTGCTTACTCAACGAGGAATGACTCCACATCCACGGCAAAGAAGTCGTCACCAAACTCGTCAGTGAGGCGTACAAAGTTGCCAATTAGGTTACCATTCTTGTACACCAACAATGCCGGCACTCCTTTGCGTTCCTGTGGGGATACAGTATCAGTGTTAAGACTTAAATAATGAGATACATATTTGATAGAACCAATGTAACAGGAAAGAGAATACTGCAATGCTTGTAAGTCTGTAGTTGAGCAAGTAAGACAGAACTTTGAACAAGGGGGCTGCCAAAATAACGTATTTTACTTCGTATGTAATACATCCAAGAGTGAATACATAAAAAATATCTGAAATTTTAGACGCTGAAACTTTTTGGCATTGGATTCTTCAGACTTTCCACTCAGATTCCAGGTGTGAAACCGCATTACTCAGACACCACTTCTGCCACATTGATCTTCTTGCAGGTTCAAACCAGTGCTTTTATGAGCCCATCCATTTGTGGGTGAAGCATATTCCAAAAGTCAATTTTGCTGTAATGCCAAGGTAATGGGCTTATAGACAATCAAAAAAGGCCCCAAGGCCACTGTCACTGCACAAATGTGGCGATGCCCTTACAGGCAACGAAAATGCAGAGGGGCGTGATGGCAGCAGGTACAAAATACGCCATTCCGACCACGATAAGCATTTTCAGTCAACTGCAAAGCAGTGCATATGGCCCAGTGCAGTTGTAAGCACGCTGCATGCATTTAGAGGGCAACAACCCGAAAGCTTTCCTATGCAAGACCACTGAGGGTGCCACAAAGATGCATTGCTTGAAGGAATAGAAGCAACTCAGCATTGCCGTAGCCCTGTGCGGCCAGGAACACAGCAAGTGCCCCAACAGTAAAGCCATAAGCTCAGTAGGCGCCGTGCTACATACGACTACCTAGGAACCATGAGGCAGTATACGCTGCACTTTGATGAAGTCGCACAGGTTTTCATCATTAACATAGCACATGCATTGTGGAAAGCCTCCCGAGTTGTCAGCTCTACCACTACAGCCTTTGCGCTCCGCATCGTCATGTCAAAATACTTTCTGATAGAGCACTTATATAAGGGAGCCGTATTTTTTTCTGCAATTAGCCACTAGCAGCAGTGCTCGTCAGAATATGCAAACTTTTGACGGGCCATTACCACACAATTATGCAGGGTCTTAGGCAGGCTCCTTAGGTGATCCAGAAACTTATGTTGACTATAGTGGATAGAGCTACTCCACGCAGCGATGCATATCCCCAAAGGCAAGAGCAGTGCTTACAAAATGTCGACTCATGCCAGCCGCAGAAGCCTCAACGGTACAGAACTTGACCTGTGGGTACTCTTCTGCCAGGCACTGCAGGCAGCCATTCATGGCCTCACAGCCGGGCATACCCTGCAAAGGAGGGAAACAACACATTTGACAATTTCCTGTCTGGAAAAGAAAGAACTAGAACTTCTTAAGTGGTCCAATAAATATTCTCTTGCGCCAGTAGCCGAACATGCATCATTCAGAAGAGTATGGTGCTAATTTAAAAAGAAAGAACTTTTTTTCTCCCAGTAATTGTAGTAATAAACATGATGATTACACCATGAACTAAGTTATGCACAGTTTGTAGCAGACTTGCAAGATATATAGAAAAACATAAATTACTTTTCAGATATGAAAGATAAATGTTGCTCATAATATACACTTTCGAATGATATTGCTACCTGCCAGTGCATGGAGTTGAAGAAGACAAAGCAGATAGACTGGCGCGAGCTAATCTGTGTGGCTGGCGCTGCTCGCCTAACCGGCTGTAAATACATAGGTGACTACCCCTCAGAGTCGGTCTCCTTTTTGTAACATATTTGGTGAAGTTGTGCGATCCCTGTCCTCGCCACGGAACTCCGAAGCGGACGCTCAAGACTCGGCTACATCCTCTCTGGTCGCCCGCCCTTCTGCCCGGCCTCTCAACCCAGCGCCCGCAACAACTCTCGCGACGCTTCCCGCGCTCAATGACCCCGGCGTGTTCTCGGGCAGCGAGGGTTCCTACGTCGACCAGCGGCTACGCCTCTACGAACGCGTCAGCGCCACTTACAGGTGGGATCCCACTCTTATGCTCGCAAACGTCATCGTTTATCTCGAAGGAACCCCTCGTGTTTAGTTTGACAACCACGGGCATGACATAAAAAGCTGGGACAGCTTCAAGGAAAAGATCCGTGAGCTTTTTGGCAACATCTCTGGTCGTCGTGAAGCTGCGAAAAAAGAGTTGTCGACTCACGCACAATCTTCCACGGAGCCCTACATCAGCTACATTAAGGCTGTTCTCTCACTATGCCGCCAAGCTGACGAAAACATGTCCGAACCTGAAAAAGTTGCGCATATCCTAAAGGGTATTGCCGAGGATGCGTTCAACTTGTTGGTATTCAACAATGTGTCATCTGTTGATGCGATCATTCAAGAATGCCGCCGGTTCCAACAAGCTAAAAGCAGACGCATCTCCCATCAGTTCCAGCGCCTCCCGAACACCACTGTGACGTCCTCATGTCTCGACACATATCATCCACCAGACACCTGTGACAACTTGACGCGAATCGTCAGGCGGGAACTTGAAGCGGCTGCTCCAGCTAACGTGGACCAACGTCCCCTGACCCCTCTCCTCCAATTACGTTGCCTCTCATTAGACAGTCGTCCGGCAGGAAATCGCCAGCTTGGGAAATTTACTCTATCTCACCGCCTCCCCGCACCGACTACCAGCCCCAATACACGCCTGCACGTCCCTTCGCGACCGGCTCTCCCTCAACGTTCCGTAATCCGTCCGCATGGCCAACACACGATGACAAGCCGATCTGCTTCTCGTGTCACAGAATCGGGCACATTTCTCGCCATTGCAGAAATCGCTGGGGTCCTCCTGCACAACCGTCCTCTCGTCCCTTCCATGCACGTCCTGCCTATAGCCATGAGACCAGCCGCGACCATTTTGCCCAGGAACCTGCTTCTGAACACCGCTACTCCCGCTCTCTATCCCCCCAACGTCGCCAGTCTCGTTCTCCACAGCCCCGCCGACCATCTTCCCCCTCCTTGCCCCAAGGTTCCCCGACGGAAAACTAAGTGTTGCAGCCCCCGGAGGTGGCGCTGCATCGCTCAAACTGACCAAAAATCCTCTTTTGACGATACCGACAAAACGGAACCTCATAGACGTAGAAGTAGACGGCGTGCATGTCGCTGCTCTTGTCGACACCGGCGCTCAACTTTCCGTGATGACGAGTGATTTTCGCCGCAAGCTCAAGAAGCTTCTCACACCTGCGACCACTCAGTTCGTCCGTGTTGCGGATGGTGGAATAGCATCTATCGTTGGAATGTGCTCCGCTCGTGTGAGCGGTGCGGATCGACACACAGTTGTTCTCTTCACCGTCCTTGATAAATTCCCCCACGACGTTATCTTAGGCCTCGACTTCCCATCCGCGCATTCTGCCCTCATAAACTGTTTGACCAGTACGCTCCATATACACTTGCCCGCAACAGAACCTCTTGCACAACGGCCGAGTGGCCTCTGCACAATGGGACACCGACGCCTCCCTCCACAGACACTGACCTACATAGAGTTTGTCTCAATACCACCAGTTCCCGACAGTGACTATGTTCTGACTCCTATCACTGATGTCTGCATAAACCGTGGCATTACATTACCGCACATGATTCTGTCTGTCGCAGGAAATTCTAGGTGCCTCTTAGTTGTCAACTTTAGCTTGACACCTCAAGTTCTGCCACAAAAGATCTCTTTGGCATTGCTTTGCACCTTAGAAGACAATGCGGTAGATGTTTTCGTGATGGCCCCTCCTTCTGACCCCCACGCTCAACATCAATCTGCCACTTGCTTTGACAGCACTACTACGATGATGATCGCTTCCAACTTAATGCCGCAGCAGACTGATGAGCTTCACCGAGTTCTGCTGTTCTACATCGACGTTTTTGACATCAGCGGCCGTCCGTTGGGGAAAGCTACCAGTATTAGCCACCGCATAAACACTGGTAATGAGCATCCTATTCATAGGCGTCCATATCGGGTGTCGGCGGCCGAGCGTCACATTATCCAACGTGAGGTCGACAAAATGCTTGCCAAGGACATCATTGAGCTGTTTTGCAGTCCTTGGGCTTCTCCTGTAGTGCTAGTCTGCAAGAAAGACGGTGCATGGCGTTTCTGCGTGGATTATCGACACCTAAACAAAATTACCAAAAAAGACGTGTACCCTCTGCCAGGAATAGATGATGCGCTTGATTGCCTCTATGGGTTTCACTATTTTCCTCCATAGACCTTCGTTTCGGCTACTGGCAGATAGAGGTAGATAAAATTAACCGTGAAAAGACGGCATTCATCACCCCCGTTGGCCTATATCAGTTCAAGGTCATGCCCTTCGGCCTTTGTAACGCTCCAGCCACCTTCAAACGAATGATGGACTCCCTGCTCAGAGGATTCAAATGGTCCACCTGTTTGTACTACTTGGACGACGTCATCGTCTTTTCACCAACATTTGAAACTCATATAGAGCGCCTCTCAGCCTTCCTGGAAATTTTTTGTCGCGCTGGCCTGCAGCTCAACTTGTCCAAATGTCACTTTGGACGCCATCAAATCACAGTGCTTGGCCATTTAGCAGACGCCAACAGTGTACAACCAGACCCGGCAAAAATCAGCGCCGTCAAAAACTTTCCTGTACCACGATCTGCGAAGGATGTACGCAGCTTTATCGGACCATGCTCCTACTTCCGACGCTTCGTGAAAAATTTTTCGCACATAATGAGGCCGCTTACCCAGCTCCTCAAGAAAGAAGTCCCGTTTTCATGGGGCTCCTCATCGCTCCTCTCACTACTTCTCCGATTCTGGCACACTTCAACCCTGCTGCCCCTACGGAAATCCGTACAGGTGCTTGTGGACATGCCATTGGTGCAGTGCTGGCTCAAAAACAACATGGCCATGATTGCGTTATTGCATATGCCAGCCGCCTCCTATCCGCCCCTGAACGTAACTATTCGATCACAGAGCATGAGTGCTTGGCTCTTGTATGGGCGGTGGCGAAATTTCGCCCTTATCTATACGGACGTCCATTTTCGGTAGTTACCGACCACCACGCACTCTGCTGGCTCAACTCTCTGAAAGATCCATCAGGCCGCCTTGGTCGCTGGACTTTGCGCCTGCAAGAGTTTTCCTATTCGGCGATCAACAAATTTGGCCGCCTACACCATGATACCGATTGCCTCTCCCGGTACCCTGTCGACGATCCTGAAGACACTGACGAGCCCACGGAGAACTGTATCTTGTCAGTGTCCGACTTCCTTAATATTGGGAAAGCACAGAAGCGTGATCCAGAGCTGCGTGACATCATGACCCGTATGGAATCCTCCCCAAATGATGCTTCCGTCCGCTACTTTGTCATTCAAAAGGGTGTGCTATACCGTCGCAATTTCCGACCAGATGGGCCCGACATTTTCATTTTTGTGTCTAAGCATCTGCGCCACTGTATTCTCACCGAACTTCACGACGCTCCCACGGCTGGACACCTTGGCGTATGCCGCACGTACGAGCGTGTCTGGCGCCGTTTTTTTCTGGCCAGGCCTTGCTCGCTCGGTACGCCGATACGTCGCGTGTGACCTATTCCAACGTCGTAAAACACCATCGCTGCTACCTGCTGGCCATCTTCAACCAATTGACATACCCGCGGAACCATTTTACCGTGTTGGGTTAGACCTGCTTGGTCCTTTTCCCACACCAACATTGGGAAACAAATGGATTGCCGTTATTACAGACTACGCTACACGCTACGCTATTACGCGAGCTCTACCGACCAGCTGTGCAACCGACGTCGCTAACTTCTTGTTAAGGGACGTTATATTGATTCACGGTGCTCCGAGACAGCTCCTCAGACCGTGGCCGTACATTTCTATCTCAAGTCATCGCCGACATTCTGCATTCTTGTTCCACGCAACACACACTGACAACCGCTTACCACTCTCAAACAAACTGCCTCACGGAATTATTTAACCGCACTTTAACAAATATGCTCGCTATGTACGTGTCGCACGACCACAGAGACCAGGACCTTGCCTTACCCTACGCAACTTTCGCGTATAATTCATCCCATCACGACACAGCGGGCTTTTCGCCGTTCTACTTATTGTACGGAAGAGAGCCGACTTTACCACTGGACACAGTCATCTCAGCTCACACCTCGTCCACCATCGAGTATACCCACGACGCGATTGTGCGAGCCGATCATGCCCGTCAGCTCGCTCGCGCTCGGCTGATGGCGTCGCAAACCAACCAATGCCTGGTTTTAATCCTGACTACGACACCAAACTTACTGAGCTCACTGACTTGTTTTCCTGGTGTTAGTGACCACTGCTGCCTGCAACTCACT